GTGCTGCTTTAACATCATCGAAACAATAATCCCCATTTGTATTCAATTTATGGAATGTTTATTGGCATGGGATATATGACGCTTTCCTGTTTGCGAATGGATTAAAATTTCTTTAAAGACTTTGTTGCATTTATGTGATGTTTCCATGACGTTAAAGCGGCTTTGACTTTGAGAAAGAACAGCATTGAAACAGGTTCAAGCTGGCCGCCTGTCAGTCAGAACTTGCACGTGGAGTCAATCTTGACAAGGAGTGTCTTGAGTTCAGTTCCATCTGACAAGGAGTACACAGACATTCAGGTTGGACTTTACAAATACATTGTGTTGCATTGTGTTTGAAAAACAGCTCTTTATACACAGAAGAGTGGTAGTACCTCATGTTTGAAAGAAATTTTTTGTACATAGGAAAGGACACTTGATTTCACGTTATTGATACTATAATTCTATATATGGTAATAATTTTCATTGTGTCTTTCATGGTTGGGATTTTTCTTGGTTTATGTACATTCCTGTGATTCTCTATTGTTTGTATTTAGGAATAGCTGGAGGCAGCAGGAAGACGGAAAGACCTGACATGAGATGGATTGACTCAATCAAGGAAGCCACGGCCCTCACTTTGCAAGACCTGAGAATGGCTGCTAACAATAAGACGTTCTGGAGGTTATTAATTCATAGGGTTGCCATGTCAGAAGTGACTTGACAGCACTTAGCACTCCTTTAAATGAAGAAATATTTCCATCTCAATTTTATGTTTAGTCTGGAGGTTTGGGTGTGTGTGCAAAACCTGTTGCCCAAATATTGGAAGTTGTGTGCTGGAGGTGAGCAGAGGCCTGTGGCCCAAATGGTGGAAGTTAAACTGATTTTGGTACCCTGGGACTTGCTTTAGAGAAAAAGAAATGGAACAGATGGGAATATTTGTCTCTAGCCATTTTTATTTGACTCTGTACATGGGCAGGGAGGACAGGTAAGGCTGGTTCCTTAAATATGGATGTGAGGCGATTCTGCTGCCATGGGCCCTACTTCAACCAAACAAAGGCTACCATATTTTCAGGCCATGGTATCAGAGAAGCCAATATTTACTCTAGATTCTGAGATTCATGTAGACATTCACACACAGTATACTGTATGCGAGTGGGGTAGCTGTTAAGAGTGTTGGTCTAAGATTGGAGAGACGAGTGTTAAAATCCCTTTTTAGTCAAGAAGCTCACTATATTACTTTGGGACAGTCACACACACAGCCTAATCTACCTCATAGAGCAGTTGTGAAAAAAAGAGGAGGGGGGAATAAGTATTTCCTTTCTTTTTCTTTTTTGAAACCCTCAAAGGGGAAATTTTATTATTTTTCATAAGACTACTAAACTACAATGAAAAATATACGGAGGGACTACAACTAGGGATAAAGGAAAGATACCCACACTAACTAAAAACCCAAGAGAAGGAGATCATTTCCGTGTTAAGCTATATGTCATTAATAAAAGTGTTAGTCACACAATATACTTATAGAGTTCTTGTTTTACTTCTATGTTAGTAAATTATTTTTTATGAGAGAACTTCTTGAGCATCGTCTTTGCTTCAAAAGGCGGTTTATAGAGTCCTTCTGCCCTTACTTCGGTTTTCTGTCTCTAAAGTCATATACAGTTTTCACTGCTCCCACTCCCACTTCACCCACAGAGCCCTCATCCATCCCAGAAGTAGCAGAGTAACTTGATTTACTTTCTTCATCTTTCAGGTCTTCTTCTGATCCCAGCTGACGTCTCAAAAACTCTTTAGCTTTAAAGATGGAGTCAATCTCTCTTTTCTCGTTGATTTTAAAAATGACACCTTCAGGAATCGCCCACCAATACTGAATTCCATTGGTTTCAAGAAATGAGATGAGCTCCTTGTAGCTTTTCCTCTTTTGACGTATTTCAAATGGAATGTCTTTTAACGTTTTAATGGTTATATTCCCAGATTTCAGTGGATTTGCCGAAGTTGCCTTTAATATTGCATCTCTGGTCTGTCTTCTGGCAAATCTAACCACAATCTCTCCAGGCAGGCTGTTTTTCTTTATATAATTGGAATATGCCCTATAGGCAGCTTCCATGTCTTTTATTATTTCCTCCGCTGATAAGCCTGTTACTGGAACAATCATCTCACCCAGAGTCTTCTTCAAATCTTCTTTTTCAATTTCAGGCACTCCCTGAAATCTAAGAGTCATATTAGCTTTTTCCATTTGAAGCTGTAACAAACGAGTTTCCTGAAGTTTTTGTGTTGTTTTCACATCTGTCACTCTTATTTGCGGTGTCCCTTTCTGTAACTTTTTCAGTAACTTGCTCCACTTTCTTCTCCGTTTCTGCCAGCTGGCGCTGCTGTTGAGCAACGTTTTGATTTAATGTAGCCAATTGCTGGTTAATACCACCGAGTTGCTCCATCACCGGCTTCAGCATATCCGCTAGTAGGTTCATGACATCTGCTCCCTCTTCCGGTCTTGGACTCTGGCTGCCTGATTTCAATTTAAACTTTCCTCGGGAAGCCACCATGTTTACAATTTCAAACCGCTTTGTCGGGGCTCGAAAGTATAAATGAAGTAAATAAACAATAAATATAGCTGAAGATGGAAGGCAGATTAAAAACTAGGTTGGTGAATGGCTAAGGACAGAAAGAGGCAGGGAAAGGGCAGAGGATATGGGCGTTGCCAGGAGAAGGGAAAAGAGAAAGTGAGGTTGTCACTCGACAAAATTCCTTGAGGGTTCCCTACCTTGCAAGTGGGCCTGGCCCAGTTGCTGGCACCATACATCTGGGCCAGTGTTTTCCTAGGTAAAGGGTGCAAGGGAGAGGGAAAGCTTAAGACAGAGGGGCAGATAAAGGTAGGTTGGCTGTTGGGTGGGAAGGAAATAGGGTTGCCAGCTCCAGGTTATTCCTAGAGAACTGGGGGGTGGAGCCAGGTGGGGTGGGGTTTAAGAAGGGGAGTCCACCCTCCAAAGCAGACATTTCCTCCAGGGTAAGTAGGGCTGCAAACCTCCTTGCGGGTGTGTGTGTGTGGAGATCAACCAGAATAACAACTAATCTCCAGGTGACAGAGTTCAGCTGCCCTAGAGAAAATGGCTCCTTTGAAGGGTGGACTCTATGGCATTATACCCTGTTGAAGTTGCTTCCCTTCGCAAACCTTGCCCTCCCAAGGCTCCACCCCCAAATCTGCAGAAATTTCCCAACACGGCACTGGCAACCCTAAGGGGGAATTGGTCTCTGTAAATTCCAGGAGATCTCCAGGTCCCACCTGAAGGTTGGAAACCCTAGAAGGAGAAAAGGAAGCAGGAAAAGGAGAGAGGCTATGGGAGATTTCAGGAAAGGAAAAGAGGAAACAGTGGGAGAGGGGAAACAAGATGCCTCCCGCAAGTCCTTGCAGGTTCCCACTAGTTTACTCTAATTGTGCCAGTGAAGGAGTTCATGACATCTTTCCTCTGGTCTTACAGAGTCCTCTTTCTTTGAATGAGATTCAGACTATTATGAGTGAAAAAATTATATATTTAAAACCACATGACTGCTGATGGTGGGTGTTTTTTGGAAATATAAATAATTTCATATTGAAATAATTTCATATAGATTACTAAGTATGGCCCCGAGGAATCTATGCCCCTATCTGCACGGGCACTCTTCCTCAAAATGCTCTTTGGGGGACATACCAGGTGAGACAGTCCCATAGATATAAAAGATGTATATTATATTTACATAGATACACCCTGACAACAAAGCAAGACAGTAAATGTATGAGAAATGTTGTACAGAGAAATGTTATAGCATGTGTTATTGTGGATTCATCCAGAGGCTTGTAAGATGTATTCTGATTTTAATTAGCTATTTTAATAGACAGTGCAGTAGAGATGTGCACTGTCATGAGCATGATTTTTCATATTATAAAATCAACAGTGACAACCAGAAATACATTATTTCACTTCGGTTGTACCCATAACTACACTGAGGTTTTGGTTTTTAGGCTATTTCCTCTGACTAAAAGGCAAATGGGATACCCGAAACATTTTTTGGATCTTCTGCTAGATGCCAGAAAATATGTTCTGGGTTACTGGAATATTTTAATGGATGGGTAGTGCTTCCTCTCCATACCTGTCAACATAGCAGAGGTGTACGTTTCTGTCTCTTTGGCTTCATGTGCAGTTGGAAACTATGGAAACCACAAGCCCTGAAAGAGCTTGTACAAAGTAAAACTGGCTATGTTTTCATTTGTCAGTAGGAAACAAAGCCATCTTGTCCTTGTTCCTAGTAGATTTCCATTTGTCACACACACATCAAGGTCTATGTCACCATCTTAAGTGAATCACAGGATGACAAAAGGTTAATTGTCAGAATCGCCCTCCTTCAGGAAGCACTGACAATACTGAAATCTTTTGTAGATTATCTTCCTTTTGAGTCAGAAAATCAGGTACAGGTACAGAATGGTGTGCGCTCACCATTTAAACAAAGCATTTACCCCTTTAGGCCAAGGCCTAGATACCTGTGAGAGAATATCAAGGAACTGAGCAAAGACCAGGGCCCATTGCAACAAACAGCATTCTTTAACTTCATTGCCTATTCTGCAACTTTTCCATAATGCTCACCTTTTCTGTCTGGGCCACATGAACAGAGCAAACTGCACCTTGAGCTCTCAGTGTAGAATTGTATGTGCCTTCATCACAGCCATGACTACAGTCTGAATCCCTACTCTGCCATAGAAGCTTGCTGGGTGACCTTGGCCTAATCACACACTCTCCTACATCACAAGGCTGTTGTGAGGATAAAATGAAAGAGAAGAAAATGTTCTAAGCCACTTTGGGGGAGAAAGGTGAGACACAGAGGACTTTACAAAGCCTAAATATAATGATTAAGTTTTCAAAATATAGTGGTGGGCAAGATAATTTATTTTATATTTTATTTCCCCTCCCCACTCCTGTTAGTGCTTGAGAAATACACCAAAAAATAACAGTACTATGTAAAGCCACCATCCTGTTTTAAGTGTGTTACAAACTCACCAGAACTTGGTGCGATTTTCGTGAAGCACATCTGGCCAGTATTGCCTCATGTCTACCAAGAGATCCTAGCAATGAAAAATACTGATATTATAAAACTTGGGAGCAGCACTGCACTCTGCATAAACATACAAACAGATAGAGGCCCTGAACCTTCCTGGAGGTGTCCTGGAACAAGCAAAGACTTGTGACCCAATGAGTATTGCAACATAAGAAACATAATCCTTATTACAGCTCTTGGCTGGCATGGGATTACACCAGCGCTAGATGCTTGGGGGATCTAGAGTCCTATGAAATTTTGTTTTTCTTCTCTTAATCAGAATCAAGGCTCTGTGTAAGACAACTAGATTTTCTCCACTCACTTCCTTCTACCTTAGGGTGCCACTCACTAGCTCATCTACAGCTATCAGCAACCCCAAGCAAGTTGTATCATTTCCTCCCTGCAGCCAGAATGTTCCTTCTGATTGAAGAAACAATATTTGCAAGGTGTGAAATCCTGATGATTCCACTATTTTTGAGTTCACAATCCAAGGCCAGAGTTGCCCTTTGTACCTTGCCAGGTTAATAGTTACAGGTAGAACAGGATGCAGCAGGCAGTCCCTAATGATGTAAGCAGCACAAGCTTAAGGTGAGTGACACCCTCCCAAGTCCTTTGAATTCATGGGGCATAGAAGTGTAATGCTTTTTAGGACTGCACCGCAAGAGGACACTACATCAGAACTTGGGTATATTTCACTAGTTCACTTGATGCAGGAACACAGTTAAGGAGCTGCATGTAAAACCTTCCCCATGGAGACCTGATGTCCAGGTTACAGTAATTTAGGCAAGAATCTTGAGATCATATGTGGGTGGGTGTTATTGATACCACTTTTAATGACATAGTTTAATATGACAGATGCATATTAAACTAATTTTTTGTGTAATACTGGGGTGCATCTTACCCCATCCTACCGCTCTGCTGAACGAAGATTATTTATTAAAATATTTATATTCCACTTTTCCTCTTAACTTATGTTTAAACCCCTCCCCCAATCTAAAGAGACTTCCTACAAATTAAGTGGCTCTTACTTTGGAGGAAAGCTTCTTCGGCTGGTGGGATCTACCAATTAAAACCAACTACATAAAATAGCCTTTGAAAATTGTAATGTTACCCGCCCCAAGTTCTTGGAATGGGACAGGAAAGAAACAAATAAATAATCCAGGTTTGAAAACAAAAGCTTATGGGCATTAAATGACTTGTAAACATATTTTAACCATGTAAATTATATTATGTACACTTACAAAAAGTGTATTTTCATACATTCATACCTTAATTTCTGTTACATTGAAGTGCCAGGTTTTATTACAATCTTCTGCTTTATCAGTCCTATGGAAGAATAGTGAGGAGAACAGAGAATGTCAGTGAATCCACAAACTGGGAAATGCTGTTGCAAATCTGTGTTGTCTCAGGAAAGAAGAGAGCACTATGAGCCGTAATTTTAGCCACTGTCATCTATAGAATTTTCTTTTAAAAACTTTAAATGTTTTTGTGGGCATTTACAGTTGTTTCCTACCTAGTTTATTTGGCAACAGGCTAAAGTATCCAAATAAATTAACGAATGGTTATGCCAAACTGGTAACAGCTTTTATATAGTACAATATACCACCTCTGTTAAAAGGCTGACAGTGTAAGAGGTTGACATGCATTTAGCTGCTGACATGCATAGCACAGGGGAAAATGTTATCTGATCCCTGAATGTAACAGCATTCTTAATTAATTTACCAACATTTATAACCCACTTCCCTGCCTTTTCAAGCTCTCAAGGCAGCTAAAATTTAAAATGACATAAGTTACATAAGCAGTTTTTAAAAAGCCAACTGTTATCAATACAACAAAGTAAAGTTACAATACGGTCATACATAGATTTGAGTCCAGTAGCTCATTAGAGACCCAACAATATTTTTGGAGTATGCACTTTCAAGAATTAAACTTGTTAGTCAGACTATTGGTTTCTTAAGATGCTACTGCACTCAAAACTAGCTGTTCTACTGCAGCCAGGAGTATGCTGGTTCCCAACGGTGCGGTTCCAAGAGATGACGACGAGTTTAAGCCAAGTTCATCATTTCTTCTTGCACCCTGCTACCCACAGGGAGCACGCTAAGTCACGGTGGCATTCATTAAAAATGTCAGGTGGTCCAACAGCAGCAAAACACTGTCCTTTCAAATAATCCAGTTCAAAGTACTCCCAGAACCCATACGTCCTTCAATATGCTTCATCAGAAGACTTGCAGGGAAAGACTCGATTTCACCATCTGAGGGATGGAGTGTTCTAGAATTTGAGGGCACCAGCTGAAAACTCTCTTCCATGGGCCCCACTTAATCTCACCTCAAAGAAGAATAAACTTCAGATCTCAGTCCTAGAGCTATGTAGTTAAGTATCTTGCATCAGTCTCAGAAGGATGTTGATTCAAGAGCTATTTGTAGATCTGATGCAGCACTTATCTAAGGAGGTTTTATGTATATATGTATTTTTATGTATTCTATTTTTTGTATTTATTTATATTGTAAGCCACCTTGAGCCCTGTAAGGAAGAAAGGCGGCTAATAAATGTTTTAAATAAATAAATAGGGATGCCACTTTTTTGCTTCTAGCAGGTGGGCTTCCGCTGATTCTCCCTGGTCTCCTCTGGTGTTCAAATGAGCAGCAGGTGGAAATGAGGAGGGGAAATGGTACTGTGACACACCTTGATGTCATTTTCGGCTTTTAAAAAAAACCTGGAAGCGACACCACTGCATCAAGGTGATGCTCTAGGAATGCCCTGGATCTCCATGGTCCAACCACAGAAATCAGTGCAGTTCCTACAGAGTTATCACACTTGGGTTTTCCAGCCAGAAATGAAATCAAGGTATTGCAGTGATGCCATTTCCACTCATCCCTGCCATCAGAACCTCATGCTACAGGACTGTCAAAACTTGGTATCCATTGCCAAAGTTTTAGCATATCCTGTTTCAGTCTGGAAACTGGCCTAGACACCATAAAGAATTCCTTCAAATTCTGTCATTCTAAGTGAAAACTAGAGCTTTTAATATGTATTTCAAGTCTTACCAGAGGCCATGGATTGTCCAATACATGGGCGGATTGTTGCAATCATTCTCGCTCATCTAGAGAAAAAACGCCCTTCAGTATCACAGAAAGCCAACTTTGACACTAAAGACACATTTATAAGCATAAGTAGCACAAATGGTCAACATGCAAAGTCATTTTCAGACCTGAGCCTCAAGAATTTGAAGTGACCTACAATTTGTTGCCTTCAATGGGACAACAGCAATTCAGCTAAACAAGCATCTAGTGCATAATACTGCTGTGACATTAAGACAATACTTCTTGAACTGTAGCAACTCAGGAATGTCCTCTGCGATTTTTCTGCAGACCCCAAAGTTCTCCCTTCATCTCTCACTTGTTCCTGTCGTGCATCAGAGCTCAGCTGATCCTGACAACAAATCAGCATTTTTTTTTCTGGCAAGTGCCCTGAGATGAACTGGAAGTTAGTGATTACAGGTGGTGGTGACTAAGAGCTTGAGCCCTTTCCAAAAGGGGAAAGCCAAGTCCGTCTTCTTCCCATGATGTGAAAAGCACCTGTACCTTGAGGGCTCAATATTCTCATTGGCCAGGTCAATATCTTTACAAAAGACTCAATGACCACACGTATACCTCTAGGGATCCTCAAGTCCCATTTTAGAAACATTAGGTTAAGGTACAGTTCGTTTAGCTCTACATTGATGTTAAGCACCTGGTGGCATTACTGTAAGATTTCTGCAATGAGATGACTATTGGATTTGTTCTGCCAAAATGAACGTGGATGCCTACAAAATGTATGTAATCCCAGAAGATCAGCAAAAATAGCATTTAAGAGAGCAAGAACGATAGCTTGGGCTGTAGTTTTCTGGGGAAATATTACAGAAAATAATAGGGCTGTTTGTCAGCTATGTGAGGGGAAAGTGTGTTGTGAGAAATGGGTCAATATGGCTTTATTAACATTAGTACCAGGATAAAGAAACAAAGGAAATCAGAGATATAACATCTAAAGAAATGGAAACTGCATCAAAGGTAAGCTAGGAGGAGTATTCCAGGCTCTACTTTTGCTGGCATCTCCACATGGAAATAACTACTTCCTTTACTTAGTCACGGTCTTGTTTTGTGATTAGGCATACACACACTGAAGCGGTTGCTAGTGGAACACTACCTTTTGTTTCTGTGAAAAACAGGACTCTTGACTTGCTGATCATTTGTGGCTTGCCTAACAACACTTTCTAATTGCTACTGACAACTGGAAGTGTCATGCAAGGGTAGAATGTCTGCAGGAAGTAAATTCAGGTCAAACATTGGAAAAAAGCTTCTCAGTTAAGCAAAATGCCCACTTTTACATTTCAAATGACCCATCAGTGTAACAGACAGGGGACCAGGATCATCTATCTGTCAGAGCCCAAAGTATTAAAATAGTTTCTTATGTCAGAATTAAAATTTACAACTCTTACAGTGTAATCCAGGAGCGGACCAGGAAGTGAAAATGGCCCCAGAGCGAGCAGAGTTGAATGGCCCCATGCAACGCCACAAAACAATTCTTCAGGGCTTATATCATAGACTGCATTAAAGTCTCCCAGAACACATATATTCTGACCATCTATTTGATTTAATACATCATATAACTTTTTATAAAAGGTTTCCTGTTTTTGGTTCAGAGCATATATATTTACAATTATACTTTCTTTGCCTTGCCTTCTTATTTTAATTGCTATGATTCTTCCCTCAACATCAGCGTAAATTAACTCAGGAGAGAGTGACTCTTTTACATATATTACTACTCCATTTTTTTTCTTCTTGCCAGCTGCTATAAATTCTTGTCCCAATTTTTTACTGGTTAAGTATTTATTATCATTTTTTTAATGTGTTTCCCCTGAATACATGTAATCTCCGGTTGTATTTTGTGAACTTGATGAAATATCCTTCGTCTTTTTTGAGGACTATTGTCCATTCACGTTTATTGATAAAATTTTAAAACTTCTAGGTCTTGACATGTTTTTATTCTTTTTTTAAAATTTTATTTTATTTAGTTTTTAAAGTTATGGAATTTATTCCTGTATTGGAACCTGATTTGTATTTGCGACGGGTTTATCTTAGATCCTTTCTTCCCCTTTTTTCCTTGTTTTTCACTCCCCTTCTCCTATTCACTATCTAATTTATCTTCGTTCTGGTATCTGGTCTTTCTTCCTCCTCCTCCTCCTCCTCCTCTTCTTCTTGTTCTTTTTGCCATCATAGTTCCTCCCCATACTGTTCCAGAAAATTTTCTATTTTAAATATGGAATCTATTCTTTGTCTTCTGCTTTTATATGTAAACAGGATGCCCTCTGGAATCAGCCGACGATAACTGATTGCATTTTTTCTCAGTAAATTTGTTAGGGGACCATACTCTCGCCTTCTCTCCCTAACTCTCCAAGGTATCTCTTTTAAGTTTATCTCAGTGTCATTTATCATTATTTTTTTCTCATTGGCAGCTTTAAGTATTTTATCTTTCATTTCTCTCTTATAAAATTTTATATGAGTCTCTCTTGGTTTTTTATGCTTCCTTGCATATGCTGAATTCCTATGGTATATCACTTCTATTTCCTTTGATATTTCTTCTTTAGTTCCTACGTCAGTTTGTTTTGCTAGACTCTCTGCCACTAACTCCTTCAGGTCTTTATATTTTCAGGAATGTTTTGACACCTCAACACTAGTGCAGCTTTATCCATCTCTATATTTATCAAGGTTTCCTCTATTTTTTCATTTTTTAGCTTTAATTCCTGTACTTCATACTCTAGGTCATTTGTCTTTTTTTTCTATTTTATAGTTCCTATTTGTTAGTTTTGTAATTTCCTGTCTATTTTCACTTATCTGTTTTTTTATTTCTTCCATTTCTGTTTTAATATGCTCTTTTAATGAGTCTATTTTTTCATGAATAGGGTCTATCTCCTTTTTCATTGCTTGTGATAAACAATCTTGTATCATAGCTTTTAGCTCTTTAAGTGATAGTTGTGTGGTACTCATTGTGTTTATTTTTAACTGCATTTGGCCTGGTGATGGTATAGACCCTTTCCTACTTCCACTGCTACTACCTCCAGTAGCCATATATCTATATTTATTTGTTTTTATTTTCTACTTTAATTTATTTTTCTTTACCAATGTTATTATTTTTCTTTATTTTTGTTGTTCCTAGTATTATTGTTATTTTTCCTGTTATTTATTTATTTTTATGTTACTTTATTTTATTTTCTCTAATGTATCAATTACCTCTAATTATGTTCTCTTGTTCCTTATTTCTTGTTTGAATTATTTGTTATTTGTATATTACTATTATTTGCTTGCTATTTCAGCTCTCTGTCTTTGTTGCACTATAATTACACAGTCCACCATTCTATCTGTATTCTGTCCCCTTCCCCCCCCCCCCTTCTCCTTCTCTTTTTCTAATTCCTCCCTTTACCCTCTCCAATTATGCCACTGTCATTTCCTGGTCTTTAAGTTTTTATGTCTTCAGCTGGAACCTTTCTTTCCTCCACGTTCCACCACGTTTCCAGTCCCCTTTGTTTCTTTTCCTTAGCACGCTGTTCTGCTGGTTCTCCTCCTCTCGCTTCAGCGCGCCGCCACATCACTTGATCTCCTCCTTCCCTTTCTCCAAGTCCCAGATGCTACTCCTTCCCACTAAAGTTCGAGTGCTCGCAAATGCTCCGGCTTCCAAATCTGCTTCGTCACCACCGCTATGATGGCTCCCGGATTTTTAAAGTGATACTCCTCCTTCCCCTTCACCTCAGAAACAAATGGAAGATAAAGAGGATTAACACATGAGAATAAGGTTTTATATCTCTATTTCCAGTTCCATTTACCTCCCTTGCCTATTCCGCTTACTGCAGCATTTGAGCTGCCTAATAGATGGTTTCTGTTTCCCTTCTTTCTGCTGCTTAACTTATTTTTAACTAGCCCTCTTCTGATCCCTTTATGCTTTAATGAAGTAGCGATACTAAAGTATTAAACACTTAGCTTCGGTATATTATTGTTGTTGCTTGCGTTCCTTCTCTCTGTGCGTTGACTCCGTCGGCTCTTGTGGGTTCCTCTGTTGCTCGGTGTTCTGGGCGTCAAGCCTCCTATAGCCCCTTGCTTCAGAGATTCCTATTCCTTCCAGAAGCTGTGCGAGTTCTTCTGGAATTTAAGTTGATCTCCCTGCCTTGGCTCTCTCTTCGTGAGAGCGCTTGAGGTGGTGGAAATACACCTAAAAAGGCTATAAGTTGGGTTTTGGTGCAAGGCAATCTCCCCATACCCAACCTTTCTCGTGGACTGGAACCAGATCTCCGGATGGCCTTCTTGACCAGGGTCTATTTTCAAGTTCTAGTGCAGGGGTGTCAAACATACAGCCCATGAACTGAAACCGGCCAGTTCAGAGCTCTTATATGACCTGCAAGCAACTGATTACTTTCATTGCCAGATGACAGAGGCTATGCATTATGTCCCTGTATATTGTCCCAGTGCTAATGTGTAACAGGCAGTGGAATCTGGAGGGCGGGCATCAGGAAGATACTGTAAGGAAATACTGTAAGATTGCTAATGTTTTAAGCAAGTTTGTATTTTGAGTTAAAAATAATATTGTTAATTGGGTTTGCCTGTGTCCTTTATAACGTTTGTATCTTTGGTACCTGGTACTGCATTTCATGGCACACATGGCCCAGCCCAACAAAGTGCCATTTATGTCAGATCTGGCTCTTGTAACAAATGAGTTTGACACCTCTGTTCTAGTGGGCTTCTATCTATCCCAAGGAAAAGATGTCAAGGCACTGTTGTTGCTCGACCTGTCGGCCGCATTTGATATGGTCGACCATCAGTTGCTTACCCACCGCCTTGCCGACGTGGGGATTCAGGGGCTCGCTCTTCAATGGCTTGTCTCTTTCCTCCAAGGTCGGGGACAGAGGGTGGAATTAGGGGAGCAGCGGTCCC